GTGTGTGTGTGTGTGTGTGTGTGTGTGTGTAATAGTGTCCGTGTCAGCACTCTGACACAGTGAGGGGGCACCTAAAACTCCCCACGCCAGCGGGTTCCAGTGCTGCCACACACTCGGGCTTATCCTCACAAAAGGGGGGGATAAGAGTCACACAGTGGCTGCAGTGAGGAGCGGGTAATCCACGGCATAATGGAGCACACCGCTACACACCGCCCCCAACAACCGGTTCAGACCGGACCCAGGTCGCCTGACCGAGGGACCCTAAATGCTCCAAGGGGTCAGGATTCCCATTAACCCCCCCCAAACCAGTACCAACAGCACCACGAATGAAGGAGATGAAAGAATGAAAATGAAAAGTGCACAGAGAGATGCAGCGTCTCACTGGTCTCTGTGGCAACAGCATCATGAAAGACTCTGTCACCATGGTGATCTGACCAGGAGAGGAGAGAAAAGAAGAGCTTCCCCCAGAAATGAGATCTTTGAAGAGTCTGGATCTGTTATATAAAACTCACCAGATTGTTTAATCTGTTCCTGTTACTCAGGTTGTCTCTGCTCACGCTCTGTCCTGTAATAAATGTGAAAATCAGGCTGAGCAGCAGCTGAGGAGCAGATCAGCTGAAAGGAGACATGTTTTACTGTCATCTAAAGTGATTTAATCCAAAATGTGTTTCAGAGAAAAAAAATCATTAAAAAGTATATTTTATACGTCCTGACTCCTGTTTATCTCATGTTCTGGTCCCTGTTTACCCAAACTTCTGCTAGTTTTTTTTATTTTTGTTAATAAATGTTAAAGTTAGCAGAAATAAAACAATGTAAAGTTCATTTTATTCATAACAAAAACACTTGTTGTCCACAAAGCTGTTTCTTCAGTGGAGTGTGTAGCACAGATGAAATGAAGCTTGTTGCCTGTTCAGGTTTTTCTCAAAGGGAGAGTTCAGATGTTTGGAGGCGGGGTTTTGTGGAAAAGTTAAGAACAAAAAATATCTTACCTGCTGCAGATAGCGCTTTAGTTCAGACAGAGAGAGTTTAATTGTGGCTGGACTAACAAGCTGATGAGTGGGGCCAACAAGAACAAACAACTGTCAGAAGGGATTTATAGAGGTTCATGAAAACATTATTTTAAAAACATTCACATCAATCCTGGTCTTATCCTGGATAGTTTTGGATGTTTCTCTTTATTGACACCTGATTTGAATAACTGAGTGATTAACAGGCTTCTGGACCTGTGGAAGAGCAGAGAAACCTCTAAAACACGCAGGATAGTGGGCCTCCAGGACCAGGATTGGACACCCCTGCCTTAAAGCTGTTTCATGTCATTCCAACAGAATTATTAACCCAGATAAAACTGGAAGTGCTACAGCTAGCTGCTGCCGCTGTTAAGCTGACTTTGAAACTTGGAATTCAACTCTTCCACTGGTTAGAAAACCAGCATTTTCTCATGTTTGTGCTCAGTAACCAGCATTCAAACACTGTATCCATCCACCAACCTGTCACAAAACCTGTAACCTGTGACTGAGACCAAGCTTTCTGACACTGCAGCACATTTCTCTCTAGAATCCCTTGATAGTCTTGAGATTTCATTGTGCCCTGCACAGATTCAAGACACCCTGCAGATGCAGCAAAGCAGTTCCAGAACATAACAGAGCCTCCTCCATTTAGTAGGGACAGTGTTCTTTTCTTGCTTCCCAGTTAATGTCTTACCAAAAACTTTTATTTTTGTCTTGTCTATCAATAGGACATTGTCCCAGAAGCGTTGTGGCTTGTCAACATGTAGTTTGGCAAATTCCAGTTGGGCTTTTTTATGATTTGATGTCCTTGGTCATCTTCCAGTAAAACCACTTTGGCCCAAACAACGATGGATGGTGCGATCTGACACCGATGTTCCTTAAGCTTGAAGTGCATCTTTAATCTCTTTAGAAAATTTTCTGGGATCTTTTGTTACCGTTCATTTTATCCGTCTCTTTGATTTGTCGTAAATTTTCCTCCTGCGGCCATGTTGGCTATCCCATGGATCTTAACTTTCTGAATAATATGTGCAACTGTAGTCACAGGAACATCCATCGGTTTGGAGATGGTCTTATAACCTTTACCTTTAACATGCTAGTCTATAATTTTCTTACTAATCTCCTGAGACAAGTCTTTCCTTTGATTCCTCTGGTCCATGTTGAGTGTGGTATACAGCATGTCACCAAACAGCACAGTGAGTATCTGTATATAGGCTCACTGACTGATGACAAGATTGTAGACTCCTGTGATGCTAATTAGTGGACACGCCTTGATTTAACATGTCCTTTAGGTCACATTATTTTCAGGGGTATCATCATTTCTATCCAGGCCTGTTT